GATAAACTATTAGGAGCTATCAGAATACATGGGGAAAGTGAAGAGAGACTGTGCTGAGGACGAAATCAGTGTTGGTGGAACAGAAGAGGTGATTTTTCAAGGATGTTTCATGTCCTGTTGTGATATGTTCCTTGTATTAAGGCAGATAAACTATTAGGAGCTATCAGAATAGATGGGGAAAGTGAAGAGAGACTGTGCTGAGGACGAAATCAGTGTTGGTGGAACAGAAGAGGTGATTTTTCAAGGATGTTTTAGGGAGACGATTACTGGGACTGAATGACTAATTTAGTGTGGCAACCAACAAACAGAAAAAATGAGGACGTTTTCAAGGTTTTCTCAAGACCCGTGGTTGTGATGATATTAAGAGTTTGGGAATACAAAAGGAAGAATGCTTCTTTCTGGTGAGAAAGCTAAGGTAATAGATCAGTTTTAAATATTTGAGTTTTAGGTGCCTGATCTGTGTATCTATTGTTGTGATGCAAACCACCCTGAAACTCCATGTCCTCAAAGGACAATTGATTATCGTCTCTTGCTCTGGTGTATGGTCTGGGCTCAGCTGGACAGGGCTTTCTTGGGATGCAATGAGGTAGCAGCTGGGGCTGCGTAGGTTGGATATCCAAGGCGTTTTCCTAACTCACATGTCCCGTGCCTGTTTGGGCTTCACTTGGTAAGGTGGTCCCCAGGCAGCTGCACTTGTTATATGGTGGTCGGCTCCCAGGAGGTGGCAGCAAAAGCTGCCAGTCCCCTTGAAGATGAGGTGTGGCACTGGCAAAACTTCACTTCTTCAGAACTTCTTGGTCAAGTGGCCACAGACCAGCCCACTGTCAAGGGGAAGGAAATAGGGTCCCCATCTCAGTTAGTGGAGTGTCAACAAGGTGCAGTCACAGTGCTTGTAGTACACACATGTGGAGGTGTTCTGGGGACAACAACGAAGCCAAGTCTGGATCTCCAGAAAGAAATCAGAAATAGAAACGTGAATGGAAAAGTTTTCTAAGGAAAATAAGCAGTCAACAGCCCGGAAATGAATGAGAAGATCAGGGAGTTGGCAATGGGGAAAAACCACTACATTTAAGAGAGGAATTTTAAAAAGGTAAGTCAACAAATGAGAGGGGAGAATGCTAGGAAACCAGCCGGAGAAGACAGGAGAGAAGGAGCGATGGGGACATGTGCTAGAAGGAGACGACAGAAGACGGGCACTGGAGTTCAGGAGACGCCGGTGACTAGCAGAGAGTATTGGCAGGGGCGGTGGCCAGGGAGGGAGGCCTCTGGGGGCCGAAAGGAGCGCCCCTGGCGGCGGCCGGCGGCAGCAGCGTGCACCCTGCAGTAGCCTGGCCGGGCCGGCGTGGCGGGGCGCAGGAGCAGCAAGCTGTTCCACAGTTTGATGTGCCTGCCTGTGAGGGGGATCAGTGCAAGAGAACGGTGACAGAGACAACAAAGGCGGCACTGGGAGAGGCGTCTCTGGAGGAACTGAACGAGGCAGGAAGCAACAAGCGGGGAGGTTCAGTGCATGGAGGGACGGGGTGCGGTGGGGAGCTGAAGCGCTTCTCCATCCTGGGAGGGATCCTGTCATTTCCCACGTCCAGCTCTATCTGAGTCCACCGTCCTCTCTGAAAGGTCCTTCTTTTCCATCTCTGCTTGTACAAACTCTCCCCGTTGTTCAAGTCCCTTCTTCCAGAGTGCCCTCCCTGATTCCACAGCTGGAATTGGGACGCCCCCCCTCTCAGAGCATCTAGACAACGTTTCTTCAACCTCTAATTCCATGCATTGCTTTCCCTGTACATCACAGGTATTGCCATTTTCTCTTCCTTTTTATACTTTTTGTAAATAGAGAAACAACAACAACAACAACAACAAAACGGGGAGGGTGATGTATCTGATATGAACAGCGCTGGTCATGGGTACTTCAAAGCTGGACAGGGGTCCAAAACGTTGGATATGGGAAACTGGAGGGATCGTAACAGCCAAATTCTGTGCATGTGTTCGCCTAATTCTGTGCATGTGTTCGCCTAACCCTTTTTTCAGTATTTAGTTCTAGTTTTTGGTCATAGAATGAAGGAAGTATTAAAATAATCTAAAACGTGAAGAATTTATAATGTATTTATAATTTATGAAAGAATTCATGAAGATAAACAAAGTTTTAAGCAGGAGGGGAACAGCTCACTGACTTTTGGAAAAATGAGACTAGCCGTATTAAATAATGGTTAAATCTCCACTTATCTTGTGGTATGGTAATAGACTATCTTTTCCATCTTCTTTTTCATTGGAAATTTCTGCTTTAGAAAAGCTGGTTAAATTAATTGTGACAATTTGAACATTTTTTTATAAAGTTATTTTCAGCTAATACTTTTCCTTCATAGAGACACAGAAACTCTTTGACAGAAAGATAGTACAAATTAAGAGTGGAATGTTTCAGTCAACTAATTTAGTCAACTAAGTCATAGATTATGGTAAAAATAAAAGGCCAAATAGACCAGGAATTTGTAACACAGGTTGATATTAGCATGTTATATACCACAGATGAAGCATGCCTGTTTGTATCAAATAAAAAATAAAAGGCTAATAGCTCTTGGCCTGTAAAACTAAGATTTTAATTTTTGTGCCTTTATCATGTCTTACCATAAATAGGATAACAAAAGAAAAAGCAAGATAAATGAAATTCACAAATGTTTTGTTTTCTCACACACTAACATATAAATTCCTTAGGGAGAGAAAATGTGTCTTGCAGTTTTCAGTCCCTATGCCTGGCATAGGAGTTCCCTGAAGGGATAGGAGGTGAATGAATGAAACATGGATATTGAAATAAACTTTATTTAAATATAATCTAAAAATTGTAAAGCAAAATTATAAATCAGGAAGTGGGTATTACAGTAAATATAATATATAAATATCTACCGCAGATACTGCACCCTATACAATAATTGTGCAAGCAGGAAACTAACATGTAAGTAGAATGGGTGGCTGGGCCTCCCTAACTTGTGAAATAGAAATTAGAAAGTGTTGGTAAAAGTACATCAAATGTTTTCCAGTACTCTCTTGTAAAAAAATAGAAATCAATTATTTTGAAATATTTCAGATTAGTCTTTGCTACAAGCAGATAATTTTTGTGAAAAAGGCTTTTTAATAAATATAGGCTGCCATGAGTCAGCATTTCTCCTCTCATCTCTCTCTGAACTCTGGAATAAGCAATTTTGTACCTAAGAGCAAGGCTGGTAATGGGATGAAGAATGAAAAGAAATTTTTATTTGAGAATTGTTACAAGATATCTAGAATTTATTATTTAGGTCCAATCACAGTGCTAAGAAAGGCGTATTAAAATAAAATACAGAGATATTTTTTTAGAGTACGTAATTTAATCCAAAAAGTTAAGAAAATATTCTAGAAAGAGATAGAACACTTCAGTCTATACTTAGAATCTTTTATTTGGAATAGATAATACTTTTGACTTTATTCCACAGAACAAATTTATGATATCCAGCTTGGAATATTCTAAGTAGGCTAATAATTTCACGTCCTCATTTGGAGTTCTCACTAATCAGGTTGTAAATTGTTTGCTGAGGCTGCTCTGTGACTTTGCATGTAGTGTCTGGCTTCTCTTGATTGTGTGAAGGAAGACGGGGCAAACCTCCAAAGACTTTAAATCCTTGTCAAATGATGGTTACAAAATTGTAACTAAGGTGTGTGTGTGTGTGTTTGTGTGTGTGTGTGTGTATCCATAGACACACATATTCTAGCTATGTTGGTTTTGTCCTTTAATTTGGGAAACAGAAGAGGTGATAAAGAGAGAATAAGAAACACAAATTGGGCTTCAGAGAGGCTAAGCCATCTATTCATCAGATTGACATAAACTGCCACCACCGAGGCATGCTGGGAGAATTGCTTATCTACATTTAGAGGCGGTGCAAACTCACTGGACCCTAAGCCAAGTACCCTACAAATCTACAAATCACATGCGCTAGGACGTAAAGCATAAGGAGAAAACCTATGTTGGCATACGTTATTTTAAAAGCATTGTTTACAAGTGAGGACTTACAGGAATATATATGATGTTTAGAGATGTATATATACACACATGTATTTATATATAAAACAAGTATATATTTTATCATGATTTCAGGGGAGATATATATATATATGTATATGTGAGATGAGATTTTAAAAATTTAATGGCTGAAGAGACCTTAAATATTAGCAATATCATTTTCTATTACCCATAGTAGCATCAATAATTATTCAATGATAAAATTTAAAGCGAAAAGCTTGCAGAAGCATAAATTCAGTATTTTTGTGCTCGCTTCATGGCCAGGCGTTTGGGAAAGTCAGGCGAGGTGGTATAGGGCGCTACTGACTCCGGGAAGCTTTCTCTCACATCCAGGTTAAGACTCAGTGGGTCTCCACTGGCCGAACGGTTGCGTAAATTGAGGCCATGCAGAACAGCTCTAACTTGCACAGCCGGCTGGGGACCGTGTGACTAAGCCTCTCACTCGGGAGGGCGCGTGGACAGGTGGGACTCACGCCCGCGCCGCCTACTGCGCACCCCCACCTCCTCCCGCTGCCGCCACCACTGCACCGCAGCCCTCGGGCGCTCCCCTGCAAATCCAGGGCCCTGCAAGAGTCCCGCTCACAGCTACAGCTCGCTCACAACGCAGATGCTATGGCCTGTCTCTTTCCTTTGCATTTTGATTAAGTGAAAGCTCTTAAATTGGGTTATTATCGATACATAATCTGCAGAGAAAATGGACATGCATTTGCAATGTAACCACCGCTGCGTGGCATACTGTCCTCACAGTGTGTGCACACAGGAAGATCGCAGCAGCAGAGGCAGCTCTGGGTCCCCGGGGGGGTGGCAGCGCCCGTGCTCCCGAGGACCCCTCCCAATCCCCGCTGAACTAGGTCTCCACCTGCCCAGCCCCCACGCACGAATCTGTCTGCTCTATTCCACTGATCTTCCGGGGGAGGGCTTGTGGGTGGTTAAACGAAAGGCTCAAAGCGGGTTTCCATACCTGAGTGTGGACTCTGTCTGGGGACTTCGGCGGCCGCCCGCGGGCTGGAGGTGGCGTAATAACTTCGTATAGCATACATTATACGAAGTTATACGATGATGTCAGACTCTCAGTGGCAGACATGTGCCTCGGGAAAAGGGCCCTTGCCCTTCCTTTCTCTTTTAGGGTGTGTGTTACTCTGGCCAACAAAGTGGAGTCTTTCCAGCAACCCCTCAACCCTTTGGTCACCTCTCCAGGAAGCTGTTCCCATGGTAGCTTCCTGAAATCCCAAGGACCATGACGTCATTTGAGATAAGAACTTAGAACATTGACAAAGTCTGCTTTATGTCTCCACAATTACAGAGGATCCAGCAGTTGCAAGTGAACCCTCATGCAGCCAGTCAGGAAGCAAAAAGCCCTCCCAGCCTGCAGATGGGCCTTGGCCAAGCTAGTTACTGAATTTTAATGAGTCAAGTTAAATATGGTTTGCAGGAAAATTTAATCAAGGCCTGCATCCTCCGCGCGTGGCTGTTGGCGTTGACCTTCAGGTAGGCCTGGGCCTTGTGCTCTTGCAGCTCGCCATAATTGGCGTCTGTCACCCTGCACTCGTACAAGCCTTCATCCTTTTTCCTCACTTTGGAAATCTGAAGCTTGTGGGAGATGTCATTGCCTTGGACTTTCACTGTCTGAAAAATTCCAGGTGAAAAAATAAAGTGCCACATCAGTGATTTTGTTCCCGTTCTTTATGGTGAGATTGCTAATGTAGGAAAATTGAAGTCTTAATGGCCTCATGGTCACAGTCAAGAAGCTTTTTATTGTCTTAACGTCAGATCTGAAGGTCTTATTTATCCTATTCTACTAATAAGTGGATTCACTGACTCAGAGGATAATTAATTCAGTCCAGCCAGTGCCAGATGCCCCCCATCTCCCAGGTTCCAGTAGCAAGTCTATCATTTTCCCAACATGGGACTGGCCTCTGCCTGTTTAACCCTGTTGAACAAAACACAAACCAAGCAGGCCAACTCCGTAGTTAATACAGCCTCTCTCCTTCACTGTAAACCCTCAGCTCTGAGAGATCACAAAAATATTTTGTTGGTCATAACAGTTTAAGTGAGAATGTACTTTTATGCCCACACTGCAATGACTACTAAAGAGACTGTTAAAATAGACTTGGATATTAAATATTTTTCTTCTCAAATTATTGATTCAGTCTTGCCTATAGTTATGGGGTGACAAGGCCGAGGGTGCAGATTAATGTCACCTGATGTCTTATGACTCAGAGTATATACCCCCACAGGAACATGAGATCTATCAGTTATACACTGATCAGATTTTCAAAATTAAAATTGGCTTTCTTATTTCTCCTAATAATTTTTATTCCAGATTAATAGCAAGATCACATATCTAATATATATAATATTAGATAAATATATAATTCTCCATTATATATAACATATGACATATACATATCTATAAGCACCTTTATAAGAATAGTTAGATTTGATATATATATATCACATGTTATCCATGATTGACAGAATAATAGATTTCATAAGACATTCAGGATTTAAAGGTTTGGTTGATCTCAAAAGATAGAGAAAAGAAGTGAAGGAGGCAGAATGTTACTTATTCTAATGGCCATTGCACTTTCAAATGGCCATAAATAATTAAGAAAAACTGAGAAGTGTTCATCTGTTTTTTACATACAGGGGTACATATACAAATAGTTTTCAACATTTGAACCAATACTATAAATATGTATTTATGCATATGCAAAATTACATACAAATATAATAATATTATAAAATAATGGACATTAATGGTTTCACATATATTTTGGAATGTATATGAAACCATTTTCAAAAGTTACTTCAAAAAGTTTGTGGAAAAGTAGAATTAAAAGATAATACAAATCTTTCCATCAACTTTTGGAAGACCCCTCATGTTATTATTATCCCATTTTACAGTTGAGTAAACTGAGGCTTAATGGGTTTGGGTCAGTGATTTGTAGCGCTGACTGTACATTAGAATCATCTGGGGAATGTTAAACAATACTCTCACTTGGTTTAATGCAAAAACATTAAGTCTGCATCTCTAGGGGGTGGAACTCATTTCAGTATTTTGTACAAGCTGGACAGAATTCTTCATTAATAATTGTTGATTCAGGACGTTCAAGGTCACACAGTGGATGAACTGGGAGCAAACTTCTTTCTGTCTCAGCTTGTATCTAGAACTCTTTTCAACTCGCTAGACTTTATGAACTACTGGCATTAGGCTGTGTTATATAGCTGCTTGATGCATCCGTAGGTTAGGGTGTGTGAGGCTGCTTTTTTTACTGGTCTTTAGATGAGGTGGGCATGAGTGAAGGGTGAAAAACAGTCAACAAGCAATCTATCTAATTATATGTGTATGTGAAAAATAGAATATTTAAGAAAAGCATTGTTAATTGAGTTTACCAATAAAGCTTTTCTAATATTGTATAAAAACAAGTTTCTGTGATATAACAATAATGGAAATTGAAATATTCTCAAAAGTCAGTGATCTTATGAGTTATAAACTGGAGTTTCTAGTTTATATTTTATCTTTGTTTGATATTTTTTTCCACGTTGAGATTATGCATTTCGATCACAGAATTTGATTGTGTACAATACATTTTTACACTTTTAGTTATAAAGTAACCTCAGTCTTATACCAGTTCATACTTCATTTATTCAAAATAAAGGCCCTTTTAAAATGCAGGTCATCAAATTTTTAGATTCCTAAAAACAGATAATAACAATATATTTATGCCTAGCAGATTTCCTACTTTTGTATTATATAACTGTTACCTTACTAGCAATGAAAACTTCTTTACTATTTGTCAAGTTAAGCAATACTATTAGTGTAAATGATTCTATGTGGCTTCCTTTGAGGTACAGAAAAGAAAAAATAAGACTTTCATTTTCCCCTTTATTTTACTCACAATTACAACTATATATTTTCAATAGGTTAACCTCCACTAATAATGTTTTTATATTGATAATGGCTTTTGTTTTTATATTTATGCGATTTTGAACATGGACCTTAGAAAAAAAGAAAAAATAAGACTTTCATTTTCCCCTTTATTTTACTCACAATTACAACTATATATTTTCAATAGGTTAACCTCCACTAATAATGGTTTTATATTGATAATGGCTTTTGTTTTTATATTTATGCGATTTTGAACATGGACCTTAGAAATACATCGCATGCATTATGAATGACACTCAAAACTGAGTTGTTTTATTTCATTGCAATTTCAACATGCCATTGGATGCTTTAATTTCTCTCCCTAGGATGATTTTGTGTGTTAGTGTTTTACTTTCTATTAAGCGATAATTATTTCTATAACTTTGAAAAGCTGTGAGCATCGCGGCCCTTTCTACTTACAGTTATGTAACTGTTACAAGGAGCAAGAAGAAAAAAATGTCACGCAACCTCTTTGGATGGCAAAATGACTCTCTAGGTAATTGTTTAACTATTTACATGTTTAAAATATATAATTTTATTTATGGTCTCTCAATTTGCTTCCATTTTTATTCACCTAATGAGGTAAAAAGAGACACCTGGCTCTCGTCCTGCGTTTGCAAAACTGCCCTTTTCCGGGAGTCATTTGAGAAGCTTTAAGAACTGACGCGTGTTGACCGACGTCGCCTGGCCCCGCAGGCCGCCGACTCAGCGCGCGCCCCCTGCCGCCCGTCCCGTGACACTCACGCTGATCTTGGTCCCGTCGTTGTCCGGGTCTCTGTCGGGTAAGAGCTCCACCTGCGGGACGAGAAGGCACACGCTCGCGCTCGCCGGGACCCTCGAGTCGCGCCCAGCCCTCGTGGTCGCGCTGAAAAGCTTTAGTTGGGGTGATCTGGTCCCGGCCGCTCCCGGGAGGCGGGTCGGGTGTCGCTGGCGGTCCCATCGGGGTGGGAGCGCGGACCCCGGCAGGGTCAGGACCGACGCGGGTGGGCGGAAGGTTTCGGGGACGAGCTCCTGCGTCTCTGCCTGGGCCGCCGTGTGTCCCGCCCAGGGTCTCTTCTACACACTGCCTCCCTCTCTCCCCGGCTGGCCCCGCCACCTCTTCTCTCTGGGCCCCCACCTCCTGTCCCCTCCCTCCCTCTGCCCACTTCTCTCTCTCTCTCTACGGGCCGTGGGGGGAGGGGACGGAGACCTCCGAGATCCCCCTCCGTCGCCCCACCATCCGGGAAATGGGACAGCGAATGTGAATATCCCGGGATGCATCAACACCGCGGTGCCGTCCTGGGCATCTTAGCAATGACGCACACCCAGGGGAGGAGGCTATTCCCAGTTTTAACCGGGAAACCCTTGACCCCAGACTTCCTCTTAGGTTTTAGCTCAGCGCCTCCAGGACACGTCCTGCTCACTCACTGGCGTCCCTGGGCGTCGTTCACCGCAAAAGAGCCTGGAGGCTCCCTGGGGAGCCCAGGCACCATCTTGGGCCCGGGGCCCTGGCGGGACACCCAGGGGACCAGATGAGTGAGTGGGACAGACGCAGGGGGCTTTGCGGGCGACAGGGACTCTGCTACCTGCGCGCCAGCCACCTCGGCCCCGGGCTCCAGGTCCTCGGGTCCCCGCAGGAACCACCACTGGATTTCCAGGTACACCGAAGCGGAGCCGCTCTGGAAGGCGCAGGACATCTCCACATTCTGCCCCTCGGTCGCCGTCACGTTCCGCGGAAACTCGGTAAATTTTGCTGCAAAACAGTAACAGATATTCCTATTGGAATATCTACACCAGTCTTGCCAGCGTCTCCTTCCTTGAAAGCTCGCTACGTTTTTCTTGGACTTAAAAGAAAAAAACAACAAAATCCCTGCAGGACATCCCCTACTTTGCCTGGTTCCCCAGTGCCCTTCCTTCGCCTCTTTCCTGTCTTATTTTTGGTATCATGCCTAAATCACTCTGTTGTTGATCAAGTCCAGATAACGGGAAGGTTAGTTAACAAGCCTGCCAATAACTCTCTCTCTTGGCCAAGCTGCCCACAGTTAGATCAAAATACCTCTCGTCAGATTGCAGTATTCTGCAAAACTTACTGAGCGATTCGCTGAGGGACAATTTAGACAGTCTGTCAAATTGATATACGAGGGGAGCCTCTTGCCTTTAAGTTTCTAAACAATCTATGACTAACCGGATATTTCACATAAGAGTGGATCATGATTATCTGTCAAAATGCATATTCCTGATGAATCAGGACAGTTATTAGCAGCCGCAGTGACACAAGTTGCACGCATTCTAGGCTGTGCATATTTCTTTCTCTCCAAATTAACCGTTAGTTATTCCTATCAAGCCATTGTATTGTAAATTGCCATACATCTTGGGATGTAACAATCACACATCAGTTTAGATTAATGATTATTTGAAGTCACTACAGAGTTTTACCCCCCCCCCCAAGCCTTTTCATTACCAGTCTCGACACTGCTAGTTTACAGTATTCATGGAGCCAGGATGAAACTCATGAAAATAAAATGTTTCCTTCCTCCTAAAGACATTTCTTGAACATGGAATGCTCTTACCTTGTTAACAACATGATCGTTCTTGTCTTATCTAAGGGGCACTTTGCAAAGAGCAGATGGTTCCCTAAAAGTAGTCTTGGCTGGTGGAAGTGCACAGCCACCATGCACACTTATGGAGAGGAGGATTGAGGGACTTCAGGAAGGATTTAGGGTGGATACACTTTCCCCCACTTTTTATAGAGAGACTATCAGAATCTCTTTTCAAAATTTTGTGAAATACCAACATGATCTCTAGTGAAATGGAACTGTATTTATGCTTAAAGGAAATGGGAGCTATTAAAGAGGGGTTCCGATCTGAAAAGGACTTTTCTGTTCAAGCTGGAGGGAGGAGTGTGGTATTTCTGCTTGCAGAAGTGATGCAGTCTTCTGGCAGCAGAGATGTGATCTGTTCCTGGTGCTGAAACGACCACTGCAGCCTGCGAAGTCCTGAACAACTGGATTGAGCAGGCTGCCGCTGCTTGCAATGCAAGTCGTGCCTTTTCAACGGGCCCTCAGAGGAATCTCTCCTTTGATAAACACACATGCAAACGAAGCCACATGGACCCAGAAAAGGGGGACTCCAAACCCAGTCTGCCCACCCAGGGAAGGAGGACCGGCAGTGGAAAGTCGCCCATATCCTGCTCAGTGTTTGTTTGTGATGCTTATGTATGCATGAGTGGCTGCCCTGTGCATGCACACAGATGGAAAGTGTATGCACACACACACACACACACACACACACACCTCTGTGTTTGTGCTCATCGAGGAACACACCTCATTGTCAGGCACCAACTAGATTTTTTTCCCCAAGCCTAGCTTGCCTACAATTTAATAAACTTTAAAGAAAAATTCCAGACAGAACGGTATTCATATAATTTAAACCCACTGTCACTTTGCTAGGAATCTCAGTACATCTGCCTGTCCATTCTTTGAACGTAGGGAACACACACACACACACACACACGCACACACACACACACATTCTCTCTCTCTAGCTCAAGCAAATGTGTTTGCCATTGAGCACAGACTTACCTTGAGAAGAAAGCCCTTGTTGCACATATAAAACAGAAAAGAAAACAAATCCAACAGACGCCAAAAAGATCCCCATCATTCCCCAAAGGGAGGGGGTCACATCGATGTAGTAACAGCCGAGAAGCCCCGAGGAAGGCAATGAATGCGAAGGTGTCAGAGGCTGTCTCAGAGCCCGGGGCGCGGCGCCGCGCACATCCTGCTGCTGGCCCGGCGAGGACTGGCTCTGGGGACGGCGCACCGGGGTGCGCGAGGCTTCCGAGGCCTCGAGCCGGAGCCGGGCTCGCACGCTGGGCAGCGCGTCCGCCGCTCGGCTGCTCGCCGCCGCCTGAGCCCGCCCCACGTCCGCCCCGCGCGGGCTCGC